TGTCTCAGTTCTATTTTTCTTGGAGTATATTCCAAGCAGTGAATAGCCTGGTCATATGAGATTTCTATGTTCAGCTTTTTGAGGAAACATCAAACTGGCTTCCAGGGTGGTTGTACCATTCTGCAATCCTACCAGCAATGCATGAGAGTTTCAATCTCTCCACTTCCTCTCCAACATTTATTACGTGCTCTCCTTTTAAACTTTGCCACTGCTACTGGAATGTGACAGTATCTCATTGTGGTTTTGATTTGCATCTCCCTGATGGCCAGTGACTTCGAACATTTCTTCATGTATCTGATGGCAATCCAAATGTCTTCTTTTTGTGCTCACTTGGGTAGCACATACACCAGAACTGGAACAATACAGAGAAGATTAGCATGCCCCCCCAAGGATGACACCCAAATGTCTTCCTTTGTGAAGTCTTCTCATGCCTTTTGCCTATTATGTGACTGATTTTCAGTCTTTGCCCTGTGGAGGCCCTGTAGTATTCTGTAAACTCTAGTTGAGATCCTTGTCTCAGATGTAATTGCCAAATGTTTTTTCCCCCAGTCAGTAGGTTTTCTTTTCTTTTTTTTTCCAGTCAGTAGGTTTTCTTTTCTTTTTTTTTTCCAGTCAGTAGGTTTTCTTTTCACCATATTGCAAAAATTTTTGATGCATACAGGGACTTAATATTTAGAAGATCCCTTTTGTGAATGTAATCCTTTCCTGGCTGTGTATCTTTAGTTCTTGAAAGAGGTTCATAACAGCACTGGTTTTGCTGCTCTAGAGAACCGAGCCGTAACCACTGGAATGGTCCTATATGATCAATGTCCTATTAAAGAAGAGAGGAGGTAGAAATAGAGAGGGATACAGGGGAAGTTGCAAGTGAAGACGCACCTATAAGCCAACGAATGCTATCAAGCAACGGGGGCTACCAGAAACCAGGAGGACAACCAAACAACCCTGCTAAGAGCAGACAGTGAGAACGCAGCTTGACTGACAACCCATTTGGTCCCAGTTTCCAGGACTGTGAGACAGTAAGCTTCCATTGTTTAAATCCTTAAATGTACTCACTTTGTAGGAGTTTGTTACAACAGCCCTAAGAAACCAATATGCTCCCACAGCCTGTTCTCAACACAGGAGCCAAAGGAATTATTTTAAAACTGAAGTGTGATCATATTATTGCTCTATGCTAAACCATCTAACAGTGCTCGTTTCAGCAGCACATGTACTAAAAGTGGAACAATACAGAGAAGATTAGCATGGTCCCTGTGCAAGGATGATATGCAAATTCATGACGCGTTCCATATTTTTTAAATTTTTTAAATTATTTTTTAAATTTTATTTTACTATTTTTTTTCTATGTGTACCTTCAAATTGGATCTTACTGGAACAGGAGGAAATTGACCCTCCTTTTCCAGCAGAGCATCTGGTGGATTTGAACTGTGCGCCTCCGGGATTGCAGTGCAGCTTCTTGCCACTAGGCCACCAGAGCTCCCTACGCTCCATATTATTTTAAAAAGGAAGAAACCCCATCTAACAGCTACCATTTCATCCCAAGGAAATGGTATCATATTAGAGATCAATATTCCTATCACATGAAGACCGGAGCCATGTCAAAGGACTCAGGAACCAACTGAAAGAAGCTCTGATTGGCCAATGATGAGACCACTGAACACCAGTGAACATAATAATTACCAGGCACTGAAAAATAGCAGCATGTCTAAATCCACAAGTTCAACAATCTTGTTGGTTATTACTGGAAGAAGTTAGAGAACCAACTCATTGCTTTAAAAATTTAAATACACATTATTACAGTGTGTGAAACTGTCAAACATTTCTTATATGAATTTGACCACTGAGAAACCAAAGAGTAGTCCAAAGAAAGTGTTCCAGTTAACAAACGAAGGAGGACTGATAGAATCGGAACGTGACTGTGCTTTAATCCCTAATCACATTATTCCAGATCGAGGAAAGGAGTATGAGGGGCTGGCACTAGACATGACGTGACTCCTGCCTGAAGGACCTGGAGTCACTTAGGAAGTCAGCCATGTCTCCCCTTCCCAAAGGAACCCAAATCTACAAATTACATTTCTAGACATAAGCAGCAATTTCTGAGAATAACAGGGGACCTGTGAAATGGCCCAGGAGAATACAAAGGCAAAACCCAGGTCATGAAAAACTCTTCTGCATGAATGGCAAACAAAATGACACGGGCCATTGGTCACAGGGAAATCCATGGCATGTGGTGCTGCCAACCAAAAAGGCTGTGCTTCTCCCAAAAGTCCAGTGTTGGCTCCGTGGGAGGAAGCGAGGTAGTCTCCCATTAAGATTTACAGTGTTCAATGAATGAATGGAATTCCAAAATCTCTGTAGATGTTCCTTGAAATGAAAAATAAACAAACAAAAAATAATAAACAGATAAAAAAAAAAGATTTACAGTGTTGGAAACCCAATGGAGGGTCCCTGTGCATCAGAATAAACTTGGTGGCAGTGAGGTTCGGGTGCAGTCAGGGAGGGGGGCCTCTGGATGGTGCAGGCAGTTAACACCTCTGCTGGTAACAAAAAGGTCTAAGGTTTGAGCCCACTCAGAGGCTCCTCAGAAGAAAGACCAAAGTCCTTCTGAAAAGGCAGCCATTGAAAGCATAGCTCTTACGCTGACACACCCGAGGTGACTGTGAAGAGGAATCGATGTCGTGCCAAAAGTTTCTCTCTGTTTTTTCCAGTTAAAAAAAAATATATCAGCTGATCACAACCTGAGGCCTTATCCAGACCCCGATTCAGACAAGCAAACCATACACATGCACATGAAGAAACTGGAAACTTGTGCACTGTTATGTGATGAGAGAGCCGTGGTCCATAAGGACCTGAGCTGTAGACCCTGAGGAAGTACCTCTGCTGGGACTTCAAGACAGGGTGCCCCCCTCATGAGAGGTACAGCCTCCCGAGCACTGGAGGGTCAGCTCTGACGTGGTTCTGACTTGCCGGCCACAATTCTTTTTATATGATGAGAGCAAAGACCGCATATATTTTTAGTTGTGCTAATGATAAATGAAGGTGACTATTTTACATAAAAGAGCTCTTATCATTTAGAGAAGGGGAAAAAACCAAACTAGTCACAAGTGAAACGACGCTATTACATCTGTGATTTCCTACTGACAGTACAAGAGGGGACAATGTGGGTGATGACGGCTGGACAAAGTTGGCCCGAAGCTCAGAACGGTTGAAACCAGGAAAAGGGTATATGCTGGTTCATAATGCTATTCAAGTGCGGCTTACTTTTTATAGTTTGAGATTTTTCCATCATAAAGCTCTAAAACCACTGGGCTCCACCCCTAGAGATTCCAATTCATTAGTTTAGGCTTGAACTCAGACGCTGGTATTTTTTAAGGCTCTCCAGGTGCTGTTAACGTGCAGCCCAGGGTAAGAATGGTGATCAATTCCACAGGAGCTGCTGAGCGCCTGAACTGAGGCTGAGGCAGAGGCTGGGATGAGGGGGACTGGGCTGACCCAGATGTACTTGACCTGGTCTGGAGGGATGGAGGAGAGGTCAGGGTCAAGGGCAACGCAAGAGCCGGGGCATGGGAGCTCTGGGGTGTTTGCCACTGGACTAGGGAACAGGTCAGTGTCTGCAGACTTGGGGGTCTGGAGGAGGTAACTGGGCTGATTTTAGGCATGCTGGTGTTGAGGGGCCTCTGGCGCTGCCAGTAGAGTTGTTCAGTGGGCAGCTGGTTTGTGGGTCTGGAAATCCACGGACCCTCAAGCTCTACAAGGCTGTTCTCCAAGAGTGAAGGCAGCCTGGTTGCAGCTATTGGTACCATCTGAGCACCCAACGAATAGCATCGTGGTCCTGCCTCGGGAGGTTGATGCTCTGGAGGGCTCTGTTCTTTTCACTCCTTCTCCTTGTTCCTATGTCCCTTCCTCTT